CCGCACACTAACCCCCCAAACCACACCCCCAAACCCTTCTTGTCGGTCTTAGGCTGGAACAGTTTGTTATGTTTCGGGGAGCGGGTCGCCGCAGCCGCAGTTTGTTTTTGTTGCTGTTTGTGGAGCCTGGGCTGTCTACAGAGATCGCGTTTCTTTACAGTGTGTTCAGGGGACAGGCAGCCAGCGGATAGTGAGGAGATGTTTGCTGTATGTGACAAAAAATGTTTTTGCCTAAAAAACGCGTGCCATTGCTTAGAGCACCTTTAATTTGTGTTCCGAAGATGAACGAAAGTCTTACGGGGTTGGAACAACATGAGGGGGAGTAATTACTGACAGAATTTTCATTTTTGGGTGAACTAACCCTTTAAAGACCAGAGTCAAGACAAAGGAGAACAATGGTCATGCAGAACTAATCTATGTTTTGGTGCAAGGCACCTTGACTAATTATAAATGGGGGGAGGAATGATGAAAAGTATAAATGACTGCCCTTTTAATTAATCAGCAGCACCTGAAAAGAAAAAAAGCTAATTGACTATCTTTTATAAGATTGAAATCAGGAGCACCTGACATATTTTATAAGCTTTGTATTGCTTATTCTGTACAGCGCTTTGAGAAGTTGCTTTTAAAGGCGCTTTATAAAATAAGGTTTATTATTATTATTATTATTATTATATTTTAGTCACATCCACACCAGTCACATAAAACTGACAGTGTGCCACTCTCTGCAAACCATGCTTATTATGTTCTTCAAAGAGAGGTTCTTGAAAATGGCAAACCACTCAGTAAAAAGCGAGACTAAAATACATACTAAAAACACTTACATACACTGCACACCCAATGACATTCTTGTTAAAAAAAACATGCACTAAATTTTAAATGTCATGATTTATCTAGAAAATAACTCTCGCCTTAATTAAGACATGCAAAATGATCAAATCAGAAATTCAACTCATAACTCCCTTGGTAAATAAGTACCGGAAATCTATAACTGGTCATTTGTTTGTATGAGAACATAGGAAAGTCTATGGAAGACAGTTCAAGCATGCTAGATTTTAAAGGAGAGCCCTGGGTGATTTGCCCCCAGGGTTGGTCATGGCTGCACATTTGCAGCAGCACAGATGTTCATGCTTTTGCCACTCCAGACAAATATAACGCACTCCAGATAGAAAAAGCATCTCTAAAGCAGCACATTACATAACCCTAAGTTTAGCATATTTCAAGTGCATGCCTGTGTTCAGACATTGCAACTGTTCCACGCTCTGCAAACATCCTCTTTACTTGCAAACCTGCGATAACTCTTGAATTCTAGAGGACTCTCTGTTTAAACACACTTAGCCAGTTGAATAAATTCTGGTAATGGATAAAAACCAGTAGATTATGATCTCATTATGCTAATTTCTTTCAGTAATTCCAGATGCCTGGGTTTTTAAAACACTTCAACATGCTGTTATGGTATGAGTGATCATAATTGGCATTAAATTATGAAAACAGCTTTATCTTTCAAACACCTTTTACAAATTCCAACCACTCAAGAGTACTCATATTCAAGCACCCTAAGAACACCCTGAAATTAACCTAATTCTAGAGTGACAGACATTTGTGCCACACTGAAATGGGAGCCCTCGTCCCTAAATATTGTTTGTTTATATATATATATATATATATATATATATATATATATATATATATATATATATAATATTATATGAAAATTATATATATCTATATATATATATATATATATATATATACATATACATATACACACACACACACACACACATATATATACATAGCCATCTTTGCCTGGAAGGACAGAAAGAAATATTGTCCTGTATGTATACAGCAGCACACACCCCATCTCAAACTCACATTAGCCTTCAGTAAAGCCAATAGTAAGATAATAATAAACATCAACACTTCGTAATGCATCTTTACTGATTCAATTTTTTAATTCTAATTTCTAATTCAAATTGTCAGGCAGCTCCAGCTGATTTCATGCTCTCAGATGTGCAGCCAAAAAAATATGGTCTAGTTTTTTCCCAGTTCTTTCTCCTCCATGCAATCACTCAAAAGGAGTTTTGATTCAACCACACCACCATTTTTTCGTAATCTAGGAGATGCTGAAAAAGCCCTAACACAAGTGATTGACAGCAAAGATGATCTGCAAAGCATGCACCCCATGCCATACGTTTGTCATAAATATGAATGACAACAGCTTTGTTCATACAGCCCTAATCTAAGCGGCTCTCAAAACTTTAGTTTAGTCACTTTAGTTAAAATGCAGGTGTAACTTGACAGTTTGGTCACCTTTTGCAGAATGTTTTTCTTATTAAACTGAACAAATATTAGACCGATAGACAGAACTTTGTGAATGCTCATTTGAAGCAAATATGTGATTCATGTATAACAAATAAACATACCATCAGTAAAGCTCCTAGCCATAGTACTGTAATAAGTATTAAAAGTTTCACATCTGTCCATCTTAATCCTACAGCCACGGTTACATTATAATAAACTATATATTTAAAAAACAAAATACTCCAGGTGCCTTCTTACCTTTGTGCTAACAATACATAAACAGTCCATTCTTCAGAGCGCGACCTCTCAGCATCTCATCGCAGCTGCTCTAATCCTGTCGCTAAAATATGCGCATGCTTATGCATAAATGAATTGTGCGCGCGACATGAACTTACTCTCAGTTGAGCAAACGTACGCATCCATATACCCAGAGAAGTCAAGATTGCATCACCTCATGTTTCTTTTCAGCTGTGTGCCGGGATGCTGAGGAGGAGGACGCCTGCACTCATATTGACGCGCATTCAGACTTGATAAGAGCACCGCGGGGAGACCGGCCAGCATAATGTGCTCCTCTCACCTCTGGACACACGCGCTCCAACAGCACGTCACTGTGTGGGTAACCGCGAGCATTAAAACGCCTCTGCCCTCACTCTGCTGTTTCAGCATCAGTGGACTTCATGTTTTGCAATTAAATATGAGGGAGAGCCGAAAAAAATAAAAATCACTAAATGTTTGAGGTGACGCGCAAACAGCAACGAAATGATGTAAAAGTTCAATTAATTCTGCACCATTCCTGTTACTAACCAAACCAAGTTTGTGATTAATCGTGCTATACTGAGATACAATCAATCTGTAAAAAAAGGTATTAATTTCCCAATTAAAACTTTTTGAAGATTATAGGCATTTTTATATATATAGCCTATATATATGCCTACATACATAGAAGTATCTAGAAGAATGCTACGGTTCTCATATAAATGTTAAATGGTTTTATCTTTTTCAAAGGAGATACAAACTTTAATTTACAAAACCAAAATTTACAATAAAAGTAATATGATTAATAAATTAGTGTTTTGCCTAAATACCAATAAATAAGTTTAATGCATGGGGGGCAGAAAAAGGTTAACTGATTAGCATAGGCCTATATTCACACCAAGAACAATACCTATGGTTCTGTTTATTCTCAGCGCTTGCTTGCCCATCACTTTAAATGCTCAAGCTCATTACAACAGGATGGATTCTGATTGGCTGTCAAAGGTTTTTATGGATCAGCTGGATAAAATCGTTGTCAACGATATTGTTTATCTGTGCCGTTATCATTTTAGCTGTGGTAAGAACTCAGCTATTCTTTAATATTGAGAATGATTTTTAGAACTATCTTTATCGTTATGTTTATAGTTCTTGTCCTTGGTGTGAACAGGCCTTTGGACAAATAGTGCAAACTGGTCGATAATAACCGATCCTTACAGCAGTCCTTCAAGCTGTTTTTTCTTGATCAATTTAGTAAGCCTATATAATATTCATTTAATCAAACAGCATTTTTGGGGGAGCTTTTCTTCACGTTTCTAAAGCTACTGCTGCCCTTACTAAAAGCTTAAGAGTGCAGTCATTTGAAACCATAGTTCCATAAATATATCCAGAAAGCTATAGTTAAATACAAAAATATTTGAAAAGGTTATGTTAGACCCAATTACAGTTTCTTACATGCTGTCAATCATTGTGGAGAGACAGAGGTTTGTAGGAAAAAATAAAACACCACAAAGCTAGAAGCACATCCTCTGTGCCAGACTGCCAGTGGAAACATGAAATTATCTACATTCAAACACTCATATGATTCATTTGAGTCTAAATGAGACTGCTGTGCATTGTTAAAACACTTTCTATCCAAAGTGTGGCAGATCGCTTCCAATCCCAACAGAAAGAAAGTCTACCCACTCTCGAAAATGTGAGCAACCTTATACAATTTAAATGAGAAATTAACATTATTAAATAACAAGGTAACTCTAAATATTCTGCACTTAGTCACAGAACTCCTATGTACTATTTTAAAGTAACACATTTAAACTGCAAACAGTTTAGTCAAAGGTTAAAAACTTCACATGTTCCAAATTATGCATTGATTAAGGGGCATTACATCCTCACTTTCCTTTTAAGCACAAGTTTAACAAATACTGGAGGTTCTGAAGTAGGTTCACCAGAGCTGAATCATTACCATGATTTAAAAAAAAAAAAAACATTATGATGGGTCTCTGAATGATCTTACATAGCACTACTCTACAAATACAGATACCAACCAACCACAATCCAAGTTCTATAAGCAATATAACACTCACAATCATCCTGCTTTTCCAATAAATTTTAGACAACAATGCCAGTTACCTTGTCTATTTTTGATCCTCCAATGAAAATGGTCTACAAACCTGAAGGAGGATCAACCATTGCGTTTATATGAGCAACAAGAAGTACTGCTTCATTCAGAATGAATCACTATTTTTAAATGAATCATTGAATGAATAACAACTACTTTCACAAGAATAAAACCATTTATTCTTGTCCGTTTCAGCAACAACAAAGGTGTCATAATTGGCAGCAATTACTCTGCATGCAGAAAATCAATAACAATATTCAAGATACATGTACTGCATACAGCAAACATGCTCTTCTATGAAGCATTTATTACAACATAATATTCTGCTTACCTCTTCGCTTTGAGGACAGATGTTGGGCAGAGTTTCTGTTGGTCCAGTGGTACTGGGAGGGCCAGAGAGATTCCATTCGTTAACAGGAGGAAAAGGTTCTCTGGTTTTAAGGCTTGATGGCTCTATGGGCTTATCCTCATTATCCTGGAGGCTCACTTCATAAAATTCCTGGATATCTGAAAGAATTAACAGGTTATAATGAAGTACATGAGATTATATAGCCAGCCACCAATACAGCTATAATCCCTATAAATATTCACAGAATCAAACTTTCATGAAAATACAGATTCCACATTACTAGAACAAATTTATAAAAAAAATTCAGAGACATCCATACATGCATGCGCACTAAAAGACTTTAGGGGCGCAATGGAAATTTATCAAATAATGTGTTTTACATTAATAAAGGGATACAGGGAGACATGTCCAGGTAAAATTAGTTAATTTATTAGAATACAAAAAGTACAAATATTACTGAGTTTAAGTATTGTATTGTAATAAGTATAGTATAGCATTGTAAGTCGCTTTGGATAAATTCATCATGGATAAATGGCTACAGACTATCGCTATCTACACCAAAGATGTATTTCAGTGTCAAGTGTCATTACTGCTAATAAATGGTAAAAAAAAAAATATATATATATATATTAGGGCTGTCAAATGATTAATCGTGATTAATCACACCCAAAATAAAAGTTTTTTTTACATAATATATGTGGGTGCACTGTGTATAATTATTTTATATATATAAATACACACACATGCTTGTATATATTTAAGAAATATTTTCATGTATATACTGTATATAGATTTATATATAATTTATATTATATATAAATATATTATATATAAATAATATTTTTTTCTTAAATATACATGCATGTGTGTGTATTTATATATATACAAAATAATTATACACAGTGCACCCACAGTGCACTGTTTTTTTATGTAAAAAAAACTTTTATTTTGGATGTGATTAATCGTGATTAATCATTTGACAGCCCTAATATATATATATATGTGGCTAGCTACACCAAAAAAGGAGCCATCCATTGACCATTATGCTGCCTTCAACACAGAGGTACAGAATTTATTTGAAAATGTAAACTGAATTCATCTTTACATTTCTGTAAAAGTAGGCTGCACTGCACACCATGTCTTCCCACACACATAGCAGCCGACATGCAAGAAACACACTAAGGATTTCTGTGTGCAGTGGCATGAGATTCTGATCAAATAATTTTTTTTTAATTAACATTCTTTTGGTTTTTCAGAGATACGGTTGAGTCCTTATAGATGTTTTCAGCCTAAAACACAGACTAGATGGACTAATAATACGCTGGACTAATAAGAACACCATGAAACACAAATACTCTTTATGGTTGAATGAGAGTTCAGAAATGAGAGCAAAATGAGGAGTTCAAATCATGGAAACATAATGGTAATAAGAATGCACTGAGTTGTAACCCACTGAGGTTTTAGTGCATAACTGGAAACCAAATAGAGTAATGATGCATTTCAAATGCTTCTTAATTAAGTATTGAGGGATTTAAGTATGCCGCTGTGCTGTGCTTTGATTTGTCAAGTCAGTGTGGGCATATAGGCTAAAGATGTTCTAAATTACAATAGGGTAGGCCATGCAAATGCAAAAATCCATTTGTCAAATATCTCACCAGAACCTTTTGAAGATGCACACTAACACTGTGCACAGAGCAGGCAGTATAAAACAAATATACAAAAACATTTCAAGTTATTATTTCATAGTTATTTCCGGATATGTTCCGTTGGACTTTGTAACAGTGCTTATCACCTAATTTCATCTTCCATTTTATCTTAATTACATAAACTCCCAAAAGATCCAGCTTAAAAGCGAAACTCAAAAGATTTTCCCAAATTGACGAAAATTAGACAAATTACTTGAAATGATTAAACACAAAACATTGTTTAGTCTATTACCAGCAAATATAATCCAAGACACTTTTTGAAAAACACATTACTCATCCATTTCAATCACTTGTCCATACCTTGTAATTACTGGATAAGGTCTAAAAAATACTTTAATATATACCTACAAAAACAACCAAGCAAAACCCAAAATGCCCATGATTTTTCTAAAACCTAAAGGGATAATTGACACAAAATAAAAATTATGTCATCATTTACTTATCCTCAAATTGTTCCAAGCCTGTATGAATTTCTTTCTTCTGCTGAACACAAAATATGATATTTTGAAGAATACGAGTAACCAAATAGTTGATGGTCCATCAACTGTTTGGGTAGGCTACTCATATTCTGATGACAGAATTCTCATTTCTGGGTGTAGGCTATCCCTTTTATAATGCTTTCCGTGAGTATTGAAACCCTGCTTCTTTCAATTTTCTCTAATTGTCATTTGAGAAAATAACATTCCCACAACAAGTTTAAAATGCTGTGTCAACACCTTTATTTGCAGTTAAAAAAATAATAATAATAATGCTGCTGTAACACACCACTGAACTTGTCAAACACAAAAAGTCAAACCTGTTCCACCATTTCAGCACACAAGACAAAATGCTAAGAAACTTCCCCAAGGAAAAAAATCGGTTGTTCTAACAGCAACTTACCTATAAGAGCCTGGAAGAGTGTACTCTGAAATATGTCGATGACTCTCTCAATTGAAAGTCTGAGATGAGGGTCTCCAGTCTGACTGAGTTTAGTTCTGTATTCCTCCAGAAGCTGCAGTGCCCTCTGAGCATCTAAAAAAATAATAAAAAAAAATCATTATAAAACACTGCTGAAAAACACTGGCCAAACAGAACAAAATAAGATGTTTAAAATAGATTAAGAAAAAAAAAAGATTTATTTATTTCACTCATACTAAAATATTGCCTATACGGAATTTACATAGGCTAAGTTACATTTTTAAAGACACCTCACCTTTCTTTCTCACTGGCATGATCAAGACTCAAAGATTCAAAGTCCCACACGTTTTAAAAGGCGACTGTTGTAAAGCATTGGAATGAATGAGCGATCACTTTCACTTTGATTTGGCGATCAACAATCACCGGTGATCGCTGACTGGGTCAGAGTGACATGTGAGAGTGAAAGATCAATAATCCGCCAATACAATAAAAAAAAACTATAAACGACCACTTCACTCATAACCTGCTGTCAGAGGCGGCAGGACCCCGTAGGCACTTTCATACAACTCTGGACTTATAGCAACTTTCTGCAGACGAATGAATGGAGTAAATCAGAAAATCGCGGTGTGCATTACAAATATTTGGTCAAACTCCCTCCGGTCTGTTGCAATGGAAGTGGAAAAATTGGCAGAAATACTAATAATCCCTGTTGGAGTGCAAGTAAAGTTCACTCGTAGACGGGTTGCCGTCTATACATCTCTCCCGTTCCCTTCTGACTGGAGTCATGGATCCCCACACGTCCGTAATCGAAACTTCTTCAACGCAACACTTCCTCTTTCTTCTAGTGTGCCCGAAATTCCCAAACTTTCCTGCAAAATGGCGACCTTGATATGCAAACAGATCACATGATCTACTGATCTACTGCCTTCCCTCTGCGCTCAAAGGAATCAACGCTCAGGTTTCTTCACTCAGCAGCTGCGAGGAAGCAGACGGTAAAAGAGCGAGGTCTTTATTAAGTTTATCCTCACTTTAAGTAATGAAATCTGGAGAAATGATATGAGAACCATAGAACATCAGTCTCGTTCAGAGTATATAGGTAGCTGTGTGGTAGTAGCCTATATGCCTATATCATTTTATTCAGATTTATTTTAAAACTTAACTAACAATGACATTTTTAGTTATGTAGCCTGTACTTCCCTCATTTGTTTGACATTTAGGTGAAGAGTAGCTATCTCGTAAAAATGTTGTGACATCATATCAATCCTCATAATCCATTGTGTCTGTTAATGAAATGACTGTGATTGAGGTTTAGTCTCTTGAATGGCAAACTGGAATTATCAAAATCCTGCTTTACTTACCGAGTATCAACCAGGACTAAAAATGAGTCTTTGTGATTTCATGTTACTTATTACACATCAGTTAGTTGATTTGAGTGGTGTGCATTGTGCAAGAGTTCTTATTATATTTAATATTTCACAGTTTGTATTTCTTGGTGACAAGTAGCCTAATTATTTTCATTGATGGAGAAAAAAATATTAGGCCTAACTGGTCAAGTTTTCAATATATTAATAACTTTATAGAACTAAATAGCCTATTGCATATTACAGTAACAATAAATAACATTAACAATGAGCAAAAGATTTGTTGCAGTGCAGTATTTACTAATTTTGTGACATTATATATATATAAATACAACTGTTCATGTTAGCTCAGTCACATAGACACAACTTTTGTGTTGAAATTAACATTAACTTACATTAATAAATGCTTTCAAATAATTTTTAATTATTGGTTCATATGTTAACTAATAGGCTAAGTAATGTTAACGTAACTTTATTGTAAAGTGTTACCCTATGGGAACCCGGCCAGAATAACAGTTGAATAATATGTTCACATATGCCAACTTCAATGAAAATACTGTACTGGTCACACACGCTCATTCCTTCACAACTATCTATCAATATTTATTCAGTGTTTAGTGCAAATAATTAGCATATGTTTTAATCATTCAGTTCTGTAACAGAGTTTGTTTCATATGAGGCAACTTATGAAAGGCACACTGTTACCAGCAAAGACAAAGTCTGGCTAAGTTTGGCTTTTGTTGGTTGTTTTGTTTTTTGAAATGGCTTTTGTCATTTGAATCTTGTGAAGGGTGGATGACGAGTCACAGGGTGCTGTCACATTGCCACAGTTTGGGTGGGGAGAAGTTTGCCACACACAAAAAAACAGTGGTGTCTTTCTCAAACGCCCATTAGAGTCAGAGGCTATTTTCCAGAGCGTTTTAGACACAAAGAAACTATGTTATGAATGGCTGTACAAGCAGAACATTTTCACAGATTTACAATGATCCATTTATGAAAAATGTGTACAAATTGAAGGCCAACTGAATACTATGTCTGAGGAGGGCTTCCACAATTTTGACAGATACGTCTGCCGCCCACACAGTTTGACAAGCCTAGGCTTGACTTGTGTCTAATGCCTAATGGATTCTTATATACAAATTCTATTGTATTATTCTGTCTCAGAACCTTATTCCCACAGCATTGCTTATATATGATATATTGCTTATAATAATGATATTATATAGTTAATAATAGTACTTGAAACCCCAGTTCACCTCTAATATGCATGTATAGAATTTGCTTTCAATATCTTAATGATTTATGGAAAGTTAGGTTTTGTGTTGATTTAAATAAATAGAGCTTTCATCCTTCGGTGGTTATGTATAATTACAATTGCACACACGCCCTCTGCTTTCTTTGGAGGCATGTGAAGAGTCTTGACATGCATGGCTGTAACCGGACCTGAGCACTTCTAACCCTTCATATTGAAACCAGGGGGCATTACTCATACTCAACACATCAAGTGGATTGTCTAATAACGAAGAGGATTTTAAAGTATGGATATGTATCAAGGATGTATCTCAGATTCACATAGATTCAGAACATACATTTTAGTCCATTCCATGACCTTTAGATATTACACACAAAAAAACAGGTGTGAGTGTGACCCACTTGTTGTTTTCTAAGTAAGTATGGAGTCTTTGCATTTAAGTTCTAACTCAAGTCCCAAGTCAAGACAGGCAAGTCTAAGTCAAGACAGGCAAGTATAAGTCAAGTTGCAAGTCATCAATTTTAAGATACAAGCCGTAAACAAATCATTAGTGATACTTATTAAATACTAAATAAGATTTATATTAGGAAGGCTTTTAGAATATGACTTCCCAGTTTAATTTCATGTTGGTTCAGTTTCACTATTTAATATTTTTTTTTTTTTCGTTCTATAGATTTTAAAACAAATGAACTGTTAATTATGGAAATGAATTGTGACTTGCTACATATATTTTCACACATTTAAAAATACTCTAACTGAGCCGGTATAATTTTATATATATATATACGTGGTATATACTTACATTGTGGCTGATGACAACCGGGATCAGTCTGAAACAGGCGTTCACAGGGTTGTGAGGAAGAACTTATTCTAGTTGGTAAACTGAGTAAACATTTTAAACAACTTAGTTGCAAGTAAAGACCTTTCCTGTCCGTGGTTCCCGGCCAGATTAAGATGTAAACTGAACCAGACTTAATGCTGACAGTCAAAAGTCTGGCTACGAGAGATTAGATGCCCCTAATTTAAGTATGACTTTTGACACACTGCATAATTAGCATATCTTAATGTGCATATTTCATTTTTGTATGTACAGTACAGCAATTAGCACATCATCAAGTGGAGTGCATGATAAAGTTAACCATAACAATGTTATAAAGTGGTTCTCAAACTTCTTGACTATAGGCCCCTAATTTAAGTTATAATATTTCTTCCAGCATGTTCTACTATAGCCTAATTATACTTTAAAACTTTTTAGTAACAGGAACTGGTAGCGTCTATGTGTTAATTAACTAATATTAATTAACCTCAAATATTTTATTTCAGACTTTTTAATAAATCTCTGTTAAAATTAAAAAGATAAAAGAAAAGGAAGAAACATTCAGTTTACACATTTTTATGTTGTTGTTGTTTTTTAGCATTTTAATAAAGTTAGATCATTTAAAAAATCATTTGAAATCATCCTGAGGCCCCCTAGTGGACTCCGGCCCCCTGATTGAGAAATACTGTTATAAAGTAGACATTGCAATGATCATATATGACTGTATCATTGAATTGTAGGCAGGCTCAAATGATTCTTGGCATTTCTGAAGTAATTAATCACACAACACTAATGATCCCAGTCAAAGAATGCCAGGAGATTATTGTCATCTCATTTCTCATCTGACCTTGAATTGGCAAATTGTTAACAGCTACAATAGAGTCAAATCTACACCCATCAAAGCCAGTCACGTCCTGTAATCATCTTCCATTAGAAGCACCTTCAGATTTCTGCTCTGGATATATATCTGATGTGAGTTCTACAATACATCACCTTGTTATTCTCAGATAGGCTTATCATGTGTAAATGGGGTTAATAATGATACATTATTTGAATGGTTTGTTTGATTAAATTATTAGTTTATATTGTAACAGTTCAATGGACTTTCTCCTTCATTGTGTCTGCTTAATGCCAGATTTAGACATTTGAAAATGCATAAATCTTTCAGTGTCATGATGATAGCCTACATGATCAAACAATTATATGCAAAATGCATTCTCCTTTTATTGGTTTCCTTTGTACTTTCTTCTGTTCATATGCTGAACGAAATGCTGACTATTTAAGTACAGAATGTCCACTCACGATGTCCATTAGAGTTATTGAGGTTTTATTACTTATTGCGGTGTGTATGACGCCGGCAGGGTTTAAATGCCTCATTGCTGACACAGGAATAATAATAATAATCCAGTAATGTGTATAAAATTGTGTTTCATTTTCTTAAGCAGCAGTTCTGCATCACTCAGAGCAGATCTCATTAGTGAGAAAGCTGAGATCCAGCAGTTAAGCTGCAGATCAGCAGCACTGACAAACTCTCATAAAATCATGTAGGCCTATCATGCCTGCACCTGTTATGGGTTTTTAGAATTAGAAAATGAATAAATAACACTGAGTTCTTTTGGTTTCAGTAACGAGGTAAGTTCGTTCGTGTGAGGTAAACAATAGGCCTAAGTCCAAACTGTGCAGTGTGATTACTTGAAAACAAGCTCAGGTGAATATTTCAATATATAAAAGCTGGTAAGATGTAAATTAAGTCATACTATACGGTTTTACACGGTCTGTTTTTGTATATTCAAGAAAACATTCCATTCTATAGTATTTCTATTAAAATTCCATATTTTAACAACGTTTTTCTCATTCGTGATGCAAGGTCTCTTTGTGTTTGTTAGGTCTAGCCTACTATAATTAAACTTTAAATACCCAGTCAAAAATGTCCAGTGGTTGCAACATCAAGATAATAAAATATATGAAGATATT